GGGTGAGGTCCGCTGCCGTGCGTCCACCCTCGCCGGCTCGCGATCCCGCGGCCTTGGTGCGAGGCCAGCCCATGTCCGTAGGTGGGTGGTTGGGTAGGTTGTGTCGACTGCTGTGATCCACCCAATCCCTCGTGCTCTCGGGGTGCAAAGCGCCGCCACTGATGAACCTCGTGGAAACCAGCACTGGAGGTTGATGCAACTCCTGAAGGGGCATCGCCCGCGGGGTCAGGCCAGGGCTGGTTTCACCTAGCGCAGGCTTTGCCTCCTCCCCGCTGATACCAGCCAGCTGAACTCTTTCCGCGGGCCCAGGAGAGGGCAGAGCGAGGTGTGCCAGGCGGAAACCCCGTGCAGCCGTTGCCCGGGCCGGGGTCATGCTTTGCAGACAGGGCCCAGGAGCTGGGCGGAGCGGTTTGCTCTGTCGGGACAAGCGCTCCGCAGCCCCTTGGTGCCCCCAGCCCGGCAGGCAGAGGGGTCTCTGATGAGCGCGGGTGCAACGAAACGCACGCAGAGCTCAGCCGACAGCAGCTCTCTGTGGAAACGAAGGGCCTGGTGCCATCTTTCCCGTTGCAGGGCAGCCAACCGTCCACGGCATCGCCCTTCAAGCAGGACGTGTTCGTCTACAGCGCGTCGCCCGGTGGCGAGAGCCCGAGCGGAGCCACAGCCACCCCTGTGATCATGAGCCGGAGCCCCACAGGTGGGTCAGAGCCACCAGTCGCCCTCGGCACAGCAGGAGCCCTCGTCCTCCTCCTCCTCCTCCTCCTCGGGGCAGGCGGGGGGAGCTGCTCGGGGCATTGGCCCCGGAAAGCCCCCGAGCCCGACAACGAGGAAGGTCCCCCTCCACCCCACTGCCGATGGGAAGCCCAGCCGGCACTACCAGTGCTCCTGTCCCTGAAGCTCTGGGAGCCCTTTTCTGCGCGAGCCTCAGCGAGGACACCAAGCCCACTTTCAAGCCCCATTAACTTCAGTAAATTTAGGACCCGTTTGCTTAAAATTAATGGGGCAGAATAAGCAGTTCTGGGACTGGAAATCAGCTGAATGATTTTTTTTATCTGGCTGAACTGTCTTTGGCCTGAGCACGGAGCCTGCAGAGAGCTAACAAAGTCCTCGCTCGCTCCGAAAACGCTGATGAGAGAGGTATGTTGGAGATGTGTCCTCACTGCTTTGCCGGCTTGGCTAAGAGGCTCTATTTCCGTATTTCCATGGGGAGTCTGTTTCCCTTATAAATTAGCGTGCATAGGTGCCTTTTGTTGTGGGTTTGTTTACGCCTTTCCCTCTTGACAGATGTTTCCAGTAGTCTTGGAAACTCGCTGTCTCCAAGGAATGAGCTATGACTCACAAATTATTTAATAAACAAGCAGCTTGCATCTATTACACCTACCGGTAACTTACTCTGCCACTAACTCCATCCATTTTAGTAAGACGATTTGCAAAATAAGGTACAATTCAACATGACTAAAATTGGCAGAAAGGGCCCTTCGTTAATTCGTTAAAATAATAATGATACTGTTCCGTGCTGCAAAGTTTTGCATGTTCAGGGCATCTGCATCACTCTCCCCTTACCCGCAGATTGACAACTGTTTTAATTTCCTCATGCACCACAAAGCCTGCTGGAAAAAATGATGACTCAAATGAAAAATGCACATTATGAACTTACGCGCTATTTGCAAAACAGCCAGACAGCTACAAATTCACCTTTAACAATTCAGTAATTGGGAACAACTCTAGGAGAAAAATTAAGCTGAAGAATAGTCTAGTTTGCTTTCTTTTTTGTAGCTCAGCACCCCACAAGTCCTCCTCCTTATTGGATTAGTGATTTTCTGAAGTATTAAAACAGTCCCTTTTAGTGTTTCAAGTGTTTATTTTGTATTTTCCCTGCCAAGAACATTGAAATCCACCCATACATTGTACTCATCAGTCATTTGTTGTAGCCTTTTCAGTGGCATTTCTATTAGAAAGATTGTGTGTTATAATTAAGCCTCAATTTATTCCATCAAAGACATTTAATGTACAGATTTTGCCAAACATTCAGCCAAAATAGAATAAACATTGATAACGTTCATGACAGTCTATTAAACTGCCTGGCTGTCAAGCTGGTCTAGCAGCAGTCAGTACTACAGCTTACAAATATTCTTGTTCATTGATTTTTTTTTTCTTTTTTTTCTTTTTTCCCCACCTCCTCCCCGCCGGCAGATATAAAGAACAGAAACTCTCCAAGGTCAAATCTGAAGTTTCGCTTCGATAAGCTCAGCCACTGCAGCTCCAGCACGGTACGTCTGCGCGGGACGGGGACGGGCGG